TTGCAAAAGAATTAGTGTATCAGAATTACAACTTCATTAATTATAAAAAAAAAACACCTTAATCATCTACCTATTTCGCATAAGGATATAAAATACCTAAAATTAAATTAATATTAAATAAGAGTTAATCTGGGTAATTAACAAATAAACAATTAAGTAATCCTCGTGGTAAGTTATAACTAAATCAAGTTCTTTAATAATTTTTATGATTATATTATATCATATTTCTAAGTCACACTTTTCAAATCATTCTTGCATCATTAAAAGCAACTAATTTTGAGCATTATTTCATAATAACTAATTAACTAATTTCACTGTTTTTTTTATCATATATTTATTTCCATCATTTGATATTCAATTTTATAACTTATAATCAATACTAGTTCTACCACGGAATAAATAGTTCTACATCTCATTACTGAATATTAGTTATGTCACAAAATAACTAGTTTCACTATCTATAACCAAACACTAATTCCATCACATGATGATTAGTTATTCAACTCATTACTGGGCTGACTTTATTATATGATAATTAGTTTCTTAATCCATTACCTTCATTATAGAATAACTAATTTCTTCATCCATAACTGAACACTAGTTTAATTATTAGATAACTAGTTCCTCACATATCAAACATTAAAAAGAATTTAGCAAATTTTATGAAAATATAATAACTTAATTTATCATAAGGATATCAAGTTATCAAACATTTACCTGGGGCTTGGGCTTGTGGTGTTGTCCTCTGTTGCTATTCTAAACTACCAACTTATTTTGTTTTAACAATAAACATTATCATCATAAACATATTAACCATTAATTGAAATTCCTTTTTTAATTTTCATCTAATCCCATGTCACAATACTCATTCATTTGCGTGATTTTTTGAACAATATATTTCCATTTTACCATTAAACATAAACATACCTTTTCATTTTTTCAATTTAATTGTTTCACAATAAATCTTATTTCTTAACTTCATTAACACGAACAATTTCATACATAAAGCTTAATCCATACGAAAACAAAAGTGTCATCGCACCAATTATGACATCATTTCATGTACAACATCATTTAAATAATAATAATCCTCATTAATTCTATGCATTTATAAGATATTAAAAAGATCTAAACACTTCTTCCATTCTTTAAAAATTAACTATCAACTTTTGACTTGGTGACAATCCTTATCTTGTCTAGTCTGCCAAACACGTCATTAATAACGTCAAAATTGGAGCCAGTTGCAAACATGAAAGTTGTAGGCAATTGTCTC